GCCATTTATCACGGTAAACAATTAGGGCCTAACAACATGGTGATGGAAACAATTTGGCTAATGGTGACAGAGGAAAACGTTGTCTAATCAGCAGAGAAAACAACGCTCCAATAACCTGGAGGGTCCGTCGCTCCATCACCATCAGGAGTAGGAATGATTACAAAAACTAGGTCTTTGTCGTTAAAATACTTCTGATTAAAGAGTCAGCGAAGAATGTGTCAGCGAGCCGTGACATCATCGATATGCTGCCTGCGATGTGAGTCGCCGAACAAGCAGGAGTGGCAGAGCTGAAGGTCGTTTCTGGTGATGAGGATTGACAGCAGTGGCAGTCTGGCTGTTCCCACAGCTGAAACACTCACTCGGCTATCAAAGAGGAACAACAGTGGGAACTACAAAGGGTTTGGCTCCTCGGGAGCTGAAAAACAGACGACCTGTGGTGGCTTTGGGTTTTTTTTAAATGTCCTTTGAAATGTTACACCATCCAATTCGAAGTCAGTTACAGAGATAAGACATATCTGGTTCTGGAGCGGTTACACAGCTGTGAAAAACTCTGTGCTTTAGGCTGGAAGGATTAACTATATGTGCTGGGATTAAGATGTTTGAACCAGTTAAAAAGAGGAAAGAAAGCGCCTAAATGTGAGCTTCTATTTGCCTGAAATAATTTACAAAGGACAGAGCAGCATTTTATTTTTATCATTGTATACACACACTCTTCAAAATGAGTGGCAGCGGCTGCACCACCTGATCTGAAGAGGTATGTTTGCAGGTATTTACAAAAAACAAACTAGAATTAAACCACAACCACAAACAAATAATTTCTCCACACAACTTTGCAAACCACAACCACAAACAAATAATTTCTGTCTCCAGCACCTTGAACTTTATCTTTAAAGACTTTTGTTGAGCTTGTGCAGTAATTTACCTGCTGGTTGACGCGGCAGTGAGACGGCCCATGGTGGATGAGGATACGGACGATGTCCACGTCTCCCCTCCAGGCGGCCAAGTGCAGTGGGAAGCAACCTTTGCTGTCAGACACATTTGTGGAGGCTTCAAACTGAAGCAGCTTCAGAACCACATCCCTGAGACAGGAGCAGATACAAAAATACACAGATCAATGAGAGGAGAGACAGAGAAAACAAATACAGAAATCTATACAAAGAATATTATTACATTTTCACAGAAAACAGCATTAAACCCCAATTTTACTCAAAAGTATTGCAAATTCACATTCAGAAAATATTGTTGATGGAACAACCTCAATGTTGCTGCAGTCTTAGAAGTTTAATTATAAAATGTGTGGCTGGGAAACAAGTAGGAACATGTATATTCTCTGGGGTTATTGTCAGACCCCTTATTAATTATTATATGTCTATATATAGATAAGTGGGTATGTTAGAACACTAAACAGGATTATTGGTTTTTCAGTTCCAGTAATATAAAGGAAAATGAACCCATATGGCCCTCTGACTGCACATCTCAGCAATTGAATCTACAGATTTGTTCTAGTGCATCAACGAACCAGCTAACAAGTGACACTAAAGATGTTGGCCTGAAGGTTTGTTAGTGGTTAATTGACATGATGCAGTGGTAAAACAAAACAAAAGTCAATAAAAGTAAAACTGGTTGAAATATGTCAAGCTAAAAACACCAACTTTTGTTTGAAATAAAAAAGTCAATAAAAGTAAAACTGGTTGAAACATGTCAAGCTAAAAACACCAACTTGCCATGTGTCCAACAACATTACTGCTGAATTCAAACACTAACTAAGAATGCAGAAAGAAAACATAACCAAACTGCTCCAAATGCACAATTTAATAAAAATTAAATGTCTATCCTGTAAACTGTACTTCGACACAGAGGAAAATAAACAATTTATGTCGATGACAATGCATATTAGAAGGCCGTTTCCATGATTGATAGCTAGGCTGTCGAATGGTAGTCTTGTTACAGGCATCTTAAAGTAATTTATGTATTTTAGGGCCACAAACCAGGACCAAACTCCTGTGTGTGGCATAAACTGAAGATCTACTGAACTTACTACTATAAATCACAGAGTTTCAGTCCGTGCCAGGGTTTTATTTCAGCAGCTGCTCGACAGTAATGACAGCAATAAGGTTTCATACTTGCAGGCACCCAGCTGAAGTTGTCACCTCTGTTAGGAGACGGAGGGGACGAGACCTCATTTGCATTCAAAATGTCAGGAGAAGCATGAGGAGAGAGAGAAGGGCAAAAACCTCTCCCTGGAGCAGAGGTGAGAACGGAAGCAGCCCCGAGGAGGCCTAATTAACTCCTCTTCTAATTCCACTAATTTATTATATTTTCACATCAAGTCGCTCAAGTTAAAGTAGCAGTTAAAGCACAGGAATAACACAGGAAGGATCCCAGGGTTGTGGGAAGTGGATACAGTGAATAATCAGCTGCGAAGGTGATTTTCATAATAAATTTAATCGCCAGAGCACAGCAGGGAGGAGGACATTGACACCATAAAGACGACTCTTCTGTTGTTAGATAACAGTGGAAGAAAGAAAATAACAGTCCATAAATAATTGGATATTTATGGACTGTTGTTGTACAAACATTTTTGTGATTGTTTTCATAGAAGAACTACCAGAAAAATCTTATTTAATAATACCTATAATGTATTTTTATGTCTATGCATGTATACCAACACAGGGTGTTGGTATACATTGAGGGCCTCTTTATGTCTATGCATGTATACCAACACACGGTGTTGTTTTAGATCCTTTGTGAGAGGCCCTCAATGTTAGACTCCTGGTCAACAAAACCCCTGGTCTGTACAATGCACTAATAAGTAAATATGTTGTTGTAGTTGTAGTATGTAAATAAATTAAATAAATAAGCATAATAAAATGTATTTACTTAAGTTCCATGATGTAAAAGATGGAACTTAAGTAAATACATTTTGAAAATATTATTTTTTATATATATTCATACTCTTATGAACCTAAATACTGTATATTGATTAATTTTAAACTACATAAATCACTGTTTATCAGAATTAGAAAAAGTATTACCTTATGTAACCAATCATTCCGTATGCATTCACGTAAGCAGTAAACTTGAAATGACGGAAATGGCCTAATCGCTATATCAAACCGAGGGTAACTCCCGTATGCTAATTTAGCATCTCACCAAAACACACAAACACAAAACTTTACAATCGATAAAAAACTACTACAACTTAGCCAAACATTTTATCATCGCATGAAACGAAAAGATACCAAACCTTGTGTCATTATCAGCCAGGCGCTAAATAAAGAGAAAAATTGCTGTCTGTTTTTAAATATCCACGACAGTACGACACACTGACCAACTCAGGATCGTACCTTTTTGGTTTTCCGTTCCGATTCTTTCAAAATAAAGGTCCCATATATAAACTTCAACATAATGAAAAAAATAGTAACCAGTCTTTATCAAAGTGGTATTAAAATGAACAAAACACTTTTATACAGATGTGAAAGCTCATTTAAGTTACATGTTTATGAAAAATATCTGTTTGGGGCGCAAAGCCTTTGCATTTATTTATTTATTTTGGCCAAAATGGGAAAGCAGAGATATTTTGAGTGGCTACTGTAAATGTAGACAATGTGAAGCCGACTACTTCAGCTTTAGTTCTAAAACTAGCTGTGTGGCCTGTTGTTCAAGCAATAATGTATTGTAATAACACAGGCTTCACGATACGATTTTCTTCCGACTGTGTTTGTACCTCTGAATGCATGCATACACTGATATGAAATCCATGACAGATTCAAATTCTCTTGAGGTCAGTCTTACCTGTGTCCATTGAGCGCAGCATGATGTAGGGGTGTGTAACCTGAGCTGTCTGTGCAGTTCACATTCAGGCCTTTCCACATGCTGTAAACAAAAACAAACACACGCGTCAGAATGTATTTCCATGTGCAGTCACACAAGTTGCAACTTTTACATCATTGTTGATAAAATGTTTGAAGTCTGTTTGAAAAACCAAAGAAGTATTACATTTTAGATAGAAGTCACTTACATTTTCAACATTACCCAAAAACAGCATAGATAGTTAAAACAGCTAAAGTTAAACCCAGACTAACAGAAAGGCAACATGAAATAAAACAAAACAATAATATAACAAAAAGTGTAAAAACATAAATCAAGAAGATAGCTACATACAAATTAAAATAAGTGCAACAATATCAGTCTTTAGTGAGCTCTGACTTAAAATAAGTCTTACAAATGTATTAAATACAAAAACTAGCCTGAGAGATAGCCAAAATGTATATTTTAACCAGATATTAGTAAATAGAATGTAGCTAACTTGGCAAGGTTAGCAAACAGAAAAGAAGATGCTAGACTTGAATTAGCAAAGGTTAGCAAACAATGTAGAAAAAAGATTAAGCACTGATGATACTTTATTGTAAAAGAAATTTGAAACATAAGCTAAGAGATGTAGTTTAGTTTTGTTCTCTAATAGCCCATGTACGCTGAATAATTAGCTTAGCATCTTCATTTTGTCACATTAAGAGACTTGTGTTTATTAATTTAGCTCCAAAATACACTACATGCCGTACAGTCTGAAGAATTAAAGTCATATTACATCATCATTGCAGAAGAAGAAAGTGAGTGAGGTCAAATGTTCTACTCTAAAAGGATGACTGTGCTAAAACAGCTACAAAAAAACACAACTACATAAGGTAAGCCAAATACACGCATACCAGACGCATTACAACACACACTCATGTTCACACTGCATCAAACACACACAACAGACCAGGGTTTTCCCACTGCTATAATTCTGTTTTATTTATTGTTTGTTTTTTTTTTCTTTTCAAAAGCTGTTTTATTTGTTTGGTTTTTTTTTTTCTTTTCAAAATAACTCCAGAGAGTTCCACACAGAGAAGAACTAATTAGGAAAACTCCAGTGTGAGCAGCTCAGTGCTATAAAAGTAAATATTACATAACAGTAAATGAGATGTAGAGGCGATTGAATCATCTCTTTTATGAACAAATTAATCTACGTCGACAGAAAGAAAATGTTAACGTATATGTTATTGTACCTGTTAACAAATTTATTAGAAATCCAGGAAATGTGGATTTTTGCGTAATACGATGTAAGAAATGCTGGGTTTTTGACATCAGTATAGAGAGGACAGGAGGGAGGAAATCAGCCAGTGAGTATGAGCCAAGTTAACATCTGGTTCATTTTAACTTTTATTATCAATCCAATGAAGCGGTTGTTATGAATCAGATTTTCATTTTAATTAGTTTGCGCTGACTGCTTTAAGCTCTTGAGGTGATTATAAAAACATGAAGTCACTTTTATTTGGGTGCAGAAAGGAACATAAAGTGCAAACGCCGTTTATATACATACAATAAAAAGCAAATGTCAGTACTCTGATGAAGACGTATATTTTTGTTCTATGGTGCCAGGGGTTCTTTTAGATATACTCCCTTATCGCACAACACTAAGGTAACATTATGCAATAATAATTATTATTATACTTATAATTATGAATAATTATGAACTCTTAGCTGTTGTATTTGCATTGTACGACCTTACATTGACGCAATAATAATTTATAACACACCGGTGGGTTAAAGGTCAGGCAACCACACACAGTTACATGACAGAAGATTCTTTTAACATATATCTATTTCATATGTTGTGTGTGAGTGTACTGTGTGTGCGTGTCCATATTGATTTCACTGCTCTGTTGACCTCTTTTAGTGCTGACCTGTACAACCAGAAGGATGGGTTGTTAAAAAGAGCAGCCTGACAGAGGATGAAAGCAGAGGCAGGAAAACAAGACGAGGGAGAAAATGTCAAGGAGACAAAAAATAAAGACAATGAGACTGAAAAAACCCAAAGTCAGTTTCCCCTGACTGAGGAGCAGGTCAGAAATCATATGGGTGTTTGGGGGAAAGACTGTATAAATATAAAAATATATACACATATTTATCATAATGTTTCAAAAAGCTTATGATTGGCTGAAGCTGATTAACGTTTGATAAACATTACAACCAGCCGTCCTTTAAAATGATCTTTATTTACTCTGGTAAGTGATATAAATCTGTGAAAAATCTTTATCAGACTACATACTGGCACCACTTGTTCCTCCCTGAACTGTTTTCTTAATGTGTTTTTCTGAACAAGCTCAACCTTGAACACTTGCGTCTTGTATAACTCTGAACTAATTCATTAAAAGTGCGTTGAACAGAGAGCCTTTTCACACAGAGCTTTAAACACAATCCCACTTCCAAACGCCCACAAACGCCAAGGATTAACGCACAGTCAGAGGTATTTAAAGGCCCGAGTCATGAAACCTTCATGAAATACCTGCACAAACAAACACATGTGGTCAATTTATTAGGGACCGTGAACACGTTCTTCTGTGCACTGTTCAGCTGATCGAGGCGCCTTGTTCACGCCACCTTCACATGTTGTATACTGCGACGTCATGTGTACGTTCACACCGACACTAGCATTGCATTTATGACCTGTTGCAGGTCAAACAGAAAAAATACAGATAATAAAATGGCTGAAGAACCAACAGTTATCCTAAAATGTTAAGAAACGGCTAGAAAAATTATCCTGTGTTTAGCTTAGCTTGGTTTGCACAAAATGAGTAAATAATATAGTACATGTTAAATTAAAGTGAGAAAGTTTAAAGATAGCTTAAAGTTAGCCTTAAAGGGATTTGGGAATAAGAATAAATATATAGCAATAAAAGGCTAGTACAATGGTTAGCCTGAAATAATGTAAGACCACAAGAAGGAAAATTCTCATCTAGACATTTATCTAGATTTGACTGAAATATTATAAATAGCCAAGAAAGGCTAGTGAAGAAAGTTAGCCCCGTAGCTAATGTTAGCTCTGGCCCTGGGAAAGAGCTAAGGTGTAACCAGCTGTGTTCGGAAAAAAAACATTTAATTAATTAAAAGTGTAAAAAATAATCTTTCTGTGTAAATTTCCCATGTTACAACGTGGACACCTGCGGCTTATAGAGAAGTGTGGCCTATATATGTACAATAATTCTTTTCTTTCTAAATTTAGTGGGTGTGGCTTTTATTTGGGTGTGCTCAATAGTTAATAAAGGCTTTTATTTGGGTGTGCTCAATAGTTCGGAAATTACGGTAAATAAAGCCAACATAGCTTTAGTTAGGTTTCATAGGAGAGATGTAACGGTGGAACAGGAGGGTTGGTGTGTGGGTTTAATGAGGAAGGAACAGTATTTTAGAAAGTTTAGTGTTTTTTAATTAGTGTTTTCGATCAGATGTTCCAGACTCCATTAAAGCAGCTTTTCTTTTACTTCTCCCTCTCTCTGTCTGTGACTTGACATCAGAAGCGATCACCTCATTTTATGAAGGCAGTGGAATGCAAGGGAGTCAAACGTCACCGAGCATCGCTGCCAACAGGAGTAACAACGCCGCACCCCGGTTGAACCCTGCTTCAGTTACAGTCTGACAGACATTTTCCTCAGGTTTTCCTTCACGTCACTGCAGCTTTACACATTCAGAACCACATTTAGGTTTAACAACATAAAACTAGATCATCAAAAAAGAACAACTGTGTCACTTAAGACTGAGACTGACAGTAAGACAGACGTCTGGTGATTCCTTCATACTACGCTTAAAAATACATTTGAACGAACAAAAACCTTTTAGACAGTGGTTCCCAAAGCATGGGGTGCACTGCAACGGAAGGGACAGTGCTATTATTATTAATTGTTATATTTTATGTTATTTTTAATATATTTATTAACATTTATTGTTAACGTGTCGACATGGGAGGGTCGCTGGGAAAAAGTTTCTGGAACCACTGCTATAAGAGAACCAAGAGTTTCAGGATAAAAGAAAACTTTATTTTAGTTTTTGTTCAGAAGAATATTTAAGCCGACATCAGGTTTCGAAAAGTATTTTTTGTTGCAGCCACATCAAAGCAGAGCCTTCAAAGAAGAGGACGTTAAGAACTAGAGAAACCTCAGATATGAGAACGCGAAAAAGCCAGAAGTAAATGTCACAGACGAAGAGATGGAAATCCACTGAAACGGAAAGAAACGACAACAGCAATACCATGAGAGGGAATTTAAAAAAAAAAACGGAGGAACCGATATGAGGTGGTCAGATAAGAAGCAGACAGGAAGTGGCTTTGCTTCATAACCTGTTCTGAGGACGAAGCAAAGAACAGATGTGGAAAATGAAAAACAACAATTTTCACTAAAAAAGGTTTTGAGAGATGGTGAAAAGTCATTGGAAGCAAAACCTTCTCTCTCCCTTCCCCCGGCGCCCCCGGCCCTCTGGCTCATGAGTTCCCAGACCCCTGCAGTAGACCTGTTTGTATGATGATGTCATCTTTGGTCCCCAGAAGTCTCTAAGGAAGTCATGGTCAATTAAGTACAAATTAAATAGCTGTTATAATGTGTATGGAAATGAGTTAATATAACAAACGTGGCACAAGTCCGTCAGTAATAAATGCTCTCCACGCTACAAACATCCACTGACGCGTTCAATAGGTCAAGAGGGCGCCACTCTCATCACAGGAAGTCATTTATCTTCAGGTCAAACTGAACCCTGGTCCACACGGCGACATGGAGGTCTCTATGTTGGGAGCAAGGGGTCAAACACACACACACGCACACACGCACACACATTCCATAGAAGTGAGGCTGACCCCACTCATTTCATGGACACTCAACAATAATTAAAACAAGGCACCAGTAATCAATAGCTGTGCCGCTGCCCCCTGGGGTTTAGGGGGTGTATTGATGAAGTTTGGTCATTGATTTTCCACATGTCCTGTGGACAAGTGGAGGGAAGACAAACAAAAAGATCACTGAGAAAAATATGTCTAGGTTCTTTGTTAGACTTTGACCAAAAGCACATTT